CAATGTGTCACCAGGAGGACTTCATTGTTGAGTTTATTTGTATATATACTATTGCGCATTGAGTTGCACTGCGATTCCACATGTAGCAGAAGATTATGAATACCTTGCTCTTCTCTTCTGCATAAGAAAGTTACTTCACAAGAACCGCTATATTTAACTCAGAAAGGAAAAATATGAATTTCTCCACTTCAGCGTTGTGAGTTAATTTGTGAACTGTGTAGGCCCCTAAAGTAATGCATTTGGCGTGCATGCTGAATAGTGAAATCAGGAGTGTGCATGTTGTACTAAATCTTCTGCGCTTTCTGTATGGATTCCATGTTCATGATTCCAGGGCGAAGCAAATTCTGCTGGTTATTCCTGTATTCGAATCCACGTATTCAACCACCTGACCGCTTTGCCTTATTATGCGCATAACATCTGATCTCAAAGGCATGGCTTCAAAAATAACTTTAAACTACATCACTTACCTGGTCTCACATCCTTACGTAAATTATACACATCTGTGCTCGTCAAAATTTTATTAAAATTCTCTTCAGCAACCTCAGATGTAGTCTTCACAACTGGTGCGATATTCTCCTTTTCATCCCCGGACAGGCGTCTAAAATATGGATCACCTATCATAAGACTTTTTCACATCTGTGATTGTGAACTGTTTTCGCGGAAGAAATGATAAACTCGTCCTCCTTGTAGCGTATAAGAAAGCCAGATTGGCAACCGGTGTACTTTGCACTGCAGAAATAAATAATAGAATTCTTACGGTTTGACGCGTAAACCTGAACCTCTAGTTTTTCGCTTCATGCCATATGTACAATGAAAGACTACTAATTTGTACTTCAAATCCTGAGATTCATGGTCCCGTATGCACTTTTTGATTACATAATGTGTATGAATTGCCTAGGAATACTCTGTCATACATATATACATATATTACTGATTCCAGCTGACTTAGAGCATCTTCTACTTGAACCTAACTGGTATGCCGGTGACTAAACTTAATTCCGTCAAAAAGTTTTTGATATTCACTGATATAGGAAGGGCAGGCTGGTCGCCATTGTCTCCAAGTGCCAATGCGTCCATTCGGTACAACTGTAAATGAAAACAGAAGCTTTTCAATAAAAAATTCATGAATAGCCAACAGAGTACAGTAAGCAACTTAAAAGAGACATTGACTTGGAAACTATAGCGGAAAAAAAATATAAATTCTTTACCACAGTTACCGTTTTGGAAAGTTCCTGATTATAGCCATAAACATTTACTGAAACACTCGTGAACGACAAATATGGACACAAGTGATGAAACGAAGCTCTACAGAAATCATTGAGACGCCACAAACAGGAGGATTTTAGGTGCACCCTATAATTTTCACATGAAACACATTCTCAAGCATCCTCCTGCACGATAACTGCCTTCAGGCCTAGAGGCAGCTTTTGACGACTATTCTCAACAAAATCAATACAGTTCAAGCCAAACAGAAACCAGAATCACGTCAAATGCAGCTACCTAGATCAAACGAAACAAATCAGCCAAACTGAAATCAACTAGACCGCGCAAATGTCCTCAAGGTAAAGCTGGAGGCGCCACTTCAAACAGGGGATATGCCTTATCAACGCCCGGATTCAGACGTAAGGAATTTTTCTTTGAATCCACAGGGTGTTTTGACAAAATACGACGTCATTCCGCAACGTTTGATCAGTGTTGCTGAGTCGCGCGCACTGGCACTGTCCCAATAGGTAACTAATCCAAGTTGGAATTAGTGAAGTTAAAACAAAACTAAAGGATCAGACTTCTTAAACGAGAGTTCTCAAGGGCGACATATTGAACAGGTGAAGAGATTGGCTTCTTGTCAACTGATCAGAAATTTATCTAGCTAGCAGTTATCTATGGACTATAGAACCACTTGATAACCATAACAGCTGGGGCATAAAAAACATAGTCAAGCCTGCTAGGGCGCGGACTAAACAGAAGAAGACCTAACAGATCCAGAGGTGATTTGAAAGTTCATCTAGCTAGTATTTATGTATCTTATTATCAACATATCCTAGCCGTAAATTCGTTCTCCTGAGGAGCTCTACAAGTTCTTGAGAACGGATGCCCCTATAACTCTTACTGTTAATCCCAACGCGCTAATTTTTTAAATGACATCTACGCTAGCACATGCAACGGTTAAAAGAGTAGCCTAGGACCAGGTGAATTTGTGTGTGTGCTGGGTCAGGTGGCCGTGATCCACACAGACAAATGACCTGTTTCTAACACTGGCGTAGTATTCAGTCCACCAAGATTGATCTTTCTACTCGGTAACACAGTCAGAAATCTTGAAGCGGACCGTGCTACAGCCGCTACCTTTTCAGTTCAGCATATTGCTGAGTCATTTGAGGCCTGCATAAACTATATGATCAGGTTTTCGCCACTGGGATGAGTATGAATATCCCGCCTTCTCCCTCAATAAACAAGATCGTGTAATATACGAAGAGATATTTTCAGATACTATGATTGCTTGTCTTCTGAATTTCAGGTGGAACATAGGGATTTAACAAAGCATCTGTACAATGTTATTTCCACTGCCAACACCGCTACCTGGATCCGCAACTGCCCCGCAAGTTTTCACCTCCTCTTCACACAACCTCTTCCATGTCACCCTAGGACACCCACCGCGTCGCTTCCGGTTCAAGATCCACTTGACGGTCATTCGTTTTAGGTCACTCAGACTGTTCTCAATCCACCTCCACTTCCTTCAGCATATTTGTTGAATAATAGGTTATTGGTTGGCTCACTATCAGAGTCCTTTGTCACTAATCCTTCCTGACTGACCATACTACCCACAGTATCGGGCGAAGGCATCCGTTGATGATGATCTTTAGAGCTTTGTGAGTGCTTTAGGAGACGCGCGCCTCTAATTGTCTGATCAGACGGAAGCAGTGTATTGAAAATTTGGCCCTCAGTCCCTGTGGTAAACAATACGATTTTGAAGTAATGGGCGCTAATCTTGCTATCCCTTTTCAGGCTTGCCTTGAGGTCTTTATCAAAGCGGTCACTTGTGCTTGAGGCGATGCTGGTATTCAAACGGCTAGGTGGTTCTCACGGTAAATCAGTTATCATTCAAACGGGAAAATCAAAGTGGTTGTCGCTTGTCATAAATAGAAGAAAGGTGACTAGACATAGGTAAGTAAGGACATTTCTGCAGGCACTAGGACCACTGATTTTAAAAGGGGTTTCGGCAAGACCTCATATCCTCAAAAGCGCAGAACTGTAGGGGGATGGTTGACAAATTTCAAACTTTTCAAGTTTCGATGAAGTAAGTTATTATATGCGAAATGTGTGATCCTTCACCCATCTAATAAAGGCTGTGATAATGTATTATAAACCTCGTTGCTCGTGTAAACCTCTTAGAATGGACTCTAAATTTAACATCGCTTCTTATGATTATATAAAAAAACACGTACAAAAATGCAACTATGAATCTCCGTATCACCTATGGCAGTTAGAAGTCTTTGTCTGTTGCACCATTCAGCCGACATGTTACTCAAATTATGGCATGCTACTTGGCCGGCTTACCACGTGTACATCAAAGACAAGTGGTCGGTAACCTTGATTAATGTCTAGAGTCCCAAATATTAAAATGGATACGCATGGCTTATGATCATAATCTGTGCCTGAAATTGTATCGTATTAGCTACTCACGGGAGTAGCAATCCACGGTCATCAGGATACTAAACATAGAATAAGCAGTTGCTACACATCATACGTATTGTCACGGCGAAACGACTACGAGATCAATGTTTTGTAGGGCAGCCTTAGTGTCACTAGTTAGCAGCATTATACCAGCCCTTACCGAATGCGATTTGTTCGATTATCTAACAAATCAATTATCTACCTAACTTGTAAGTGTTGACAACAAAACGCGAATCAGAAAGACTAAGTTAATTAGTAATGCGCTCTGATAAGCAGTATGTTCGAATAAAACAAAAGGTTAAGATTATTCATGGGAAAGATAATAGAACTCCTGATAGCTGTTATGGCTGTGGTACTGGTTCAGGGAATTTACGTGTAGACAGCACAAAGAAAGAGCGCAAAATTGCGTTCGAGACAGCCGGTATATGTACCCGTTAGAACAAAATCACTGGATGGCGCATTATAGTTTTGTCGCACACAGTGACCAAGTACACATACAAATGATAGTATTGACAGTATTACAACTCATCCTGACCATCAAATGCATGCGGCTTCAGTGATCATGTCAGCTACTGCTTGATTAGATAAGTGCGAGTCACTCTTCTAGAACTTCATACAACAGTTTGAGATTAGTCAATTTAATCAAACTCCAACCAACTTACCATTAGTGCGGACTTGACCTGCGCCTGAGATGTACCACAGCTCTGCATGGTAAGTACTGACCACCGGATAGTGAAATGAGAAACATTTTTCTGTTATTTGATGCGAGAAATCATCTGAACAGCATCGACGAGCAGTGTACGAGAGCGGAAAACATGCTGTTTGACAGCATTTACCGAAACTGTCAGGGGAATTTATGGCTATGAAATAAACCGGCTATCAAGGTGAGTAAATTCTGACTCAGTTGGTACGATGTGCCTGATAAACCCCGTGCGATTACATGGCATATCTCCTTTTTTGAATTGGCGCCACCTTTATTCTGTGTTTATCAGGAGTTTCAGTCTTTGACTTCTGCTTTTGATTCTGTTGGTAATTATATATTATTTCGACCCAAGTCTGTGTTCTGCTTTCCACGTCCTGTCCAGCGTGCTTGATATATTTATAATTGTCTGTGCTGTTATATTACAGCCTCCTTCAACCCACCAAGTTGGTAAGATTGGCGGGGAAGTGCGATGAAATCACTCAAAAACTCCTAGTTTATTTTAACCATGTCCTTTTCTCGCATTAAATCTAATGAATTTCCAAGCTCTTTTGTTCACCTGGAAAATAATTTTGCCTGCCAAAGTCTTTGAGGAAGTATGGAAGTAACTCCAAACCTTGTAATCAATACTGTTTTACCACCCCTTCTCAAGGTCGTGCGTATGGACATCAAGGTTAACATCGATGGAGTTCTTAGGGAAGTGTGTGGAGTTACAGAGGGCACAACTTGCGAGGAAGTAATATTTAAACTTGCCCAAGTTGCTAGCTTGCCTGGTTTCTATACTTTAGTTGCAAGCATTAGAGAAGAAGAGGTCACACTGTCGCCTGATGAGAGGATTATAAACTTCATCAAGGAGTAGGTCAATTATAATTCTCTATCACATGATTTTTCATTATCTTAAGTCACAATGCTTATTAATTGGTTGTCTACTTTTCCCAGCAATTTTTGTGAAGATTGAAGCTTACAACTTACACCATAATACAACTAGCACCCTACTTCATTGCAATTTAGGTTCAAAATTTATACTAAGAATAATAGGGACTATAAAAAAGGGTTTTGGGAAGTTCGTGAAGAACTCAGTTACAGAATAGCATTCATTGAATGACTTTAATTGGCCAACCTGAATGAACGAATGTTAAAACTTAAATTTGTTAATAAATTGTAAACTTGAGTGTATTGACTGAATAACGGGATAATTTCCTTTAATCTAACCCTAATCTAAGTCTAATACTAATCTAACCCTTAGCCATGACTCAAAACTAAACCTAACAAAATTGTAAAATAAGAGTAGCAGCAAACTGACAACAAAAGTCACTGCATTTATGGTTGGTTACGTTAGTCATTTTTGGTGGTGGCTGCTCTTCTGTAACTTCAATCTCCCAAGGCCTTACACAAGATTTCCAACGTGTGTACAGTCTGTTTTCTGTATGTGCCCACAGATGCCTAAAAAGCATCGAAATTTCTTGTTGGCCGGGGAACTGAAAAATCCAGTCGGCATTTCTGAGTTTACACCTCTATATTATCAACTATGCGCGTGACAACAGGAGGATGCAATTGCCCAAATGTTGTCATTAAAGATTCTGACACAAATGACCGCAATATTATAAAGGCTTTGCTGAATAGTGGTATATCAAAGAAGTAAATAAACGTATAATTGGTACATCTTAAGTTATCTAAGAGTGGATTTTAAAATATAGATAAAAATGTACAAGGGGATCACAGCTGGATGAAGGAGTTTGAAGTCATGGTAAACAAGGAGTGGTTGCTGAAATCCGCTTATTCGATAGGTGTACGGGTTGTGTATCTAGACTGCTCTAGTGCTGTATGTCCCTGCTTTCATGTGGATGTTGACGTAGGCGCAAATATGAATAAATGAGTTTGATTGGTAGTAAAAGTATCCCGGTCAAGCACATCTAAATGATGGGTATTTAGTTTCGATTTCTTTGAAAATTCATGCAAAATAAAATGTTAAACCTGAGAAAAAGTTCATCAAAAGGTTGTTGATTATTCTAACTTCTATTCAGATTCAGATCATAAGGATAGAAGGTTCTTGTTGCCTATGTTAATCCTCGCGATATATATATCTCCGCAGACATCCAGTTTCTCTTTGAAAGCGTTCACCGATGGAGCTGTTACTACTGAATCAGGTAAGGAGTTCCAGTCGTTGACCACTCTGTGAGAGAATCTAAACTCCAAACGTATTTTATTCGACCTTGGTGTGAGCACCTTCTTCTGGTGACCCCGTAAATGTATCCTAGAGGTAGAGAAAAGGTTTGAAAGGTCAATCCCTAAATCACCCTTGAATATACGGTAAGCCAAAATTAAGTCGCCTCTCCTCCTTCGATATGATAATGGGAAGAGATTTAAATGCTCCATCCTCTTATCATAAGGAAGGTGTGAGATACCACTAACTAATTTCGTTCCTACCCTATGTACTCTTTCCAGGGTATGTGCCTCCTTTTTGAAGCATGGACTCGCCGCTTGTACGCAGCACTCTAGATGAGGCCTGACATATGTTGCATAGAGTACTTGGAACATACCCTCGTCTAATCGTTCGAAAGCTCTTCGAAGTGGCCATAGCATTCGAAAAGCCTTAGCTGCGGCTCAATTACAGTTTGCCGTTGTTTCTAAGTCATGGCTAACAATAATTCCCAAGTCCTTTTGTTCCCTAACATCTGACAGTTCTGTGTCCCCCATGGAGTACGACGTGTAAGACTTCTGACCTAGGTGTATCACCGCGCTTTTCTTGGAATTAATTTCCATACTCCAAAGGTTAGCCCATTCAGTTAATTTGTCTGGATCGTTTTGTAGTACCAACCTATCATCGCTACTATTTACGGTTTTCCATATCTTAATATCGTCCGCAAATAGTAAGGAAGATGAGGTAAGAATTTTCGGCACTTCATTTACGTATAATAAGAATAGCAGGAGGCCAAGTACCGTTCCCTGAGGTACTCCACTTAGTACTGCTTTCCACCCTGACAGTACACCATTAACCCTTACCTTCTGCCTTCTATCCATCAAGTAGTCTTTTGAATATTTAGCGAGAATTCATTTTAATCTGTGTTTCACTTAGTTAGGTGCCTGTCATTTGTTTGGGATCCTTTGTAGTCTAGACGTACGTGTTTTTAATAAAAAGAACAAGATAATCATCCTTTATGTCGTGTTCACTTGGGGTCGACAAATAAATTATTTGCCAACGCCTTTGGTAGCCACAGAAATAGGATATTTGAGAGAACCGTTCTAAATTTACATCAGGTTCTCATTCAACTTACAGTTGATTGACCTTCACAGCAGCCCACACAGAAATAGAAACACTTCATTCTTATTAACTTCAGACACTCAGTGAACTGGTCAAGAAGTTGAGTTAGTTTAGCTTCATTCTTCCTAGGTCTTCCTTCAATATGTAAGAAACGTCCACTGAAACAGCATTTGAAATCTATTATAGCCTTATGTCACAAGTTTTCACTGGTTCACAGTCATTGCCTTAGATTGGCTCTTAGTTCCACAGTAATTAAGTTGGAACTGTTCAATGGCAAAATAAATAAACAGGTTCCATAATTTTCCACACATGGGTTTTTAGCCTGTCTATTGATTCGGAGACGGTAGATTGTGGATCAGTAAAGAATAAATTAAAACGTAGCTAGCTCCTTGAGTTTAATTAATTCCGAACTAGTCTCAATTAATCGATTTAAGGTTGTGAGACTTTCTGTGAATGGGTGTAATCATGTATTTGTTCTCACATTCATGATCAATGAATTCATCTGATTCAGTATTTGGATGATTCTGACACGAGTTAGATATTTTCGACTGTACCTCTTAATGTAAGGTCAATCTGGCAGAACCATTCATCAAATAACTTATCACTATCACTTTTATCTGACTTCTCTTATGTATAGATTAACATGATCAACTGTGCTTATGAATATTCATGTCTTTTGTGAAAAATGTATGTGAAATCGTTTTTGCAGCTAAAAAATTGTGGTTGCCTCTTCGATGAACTACATATTTTGTCTTTTCATAAATACTTGAATGGGGATTGTTTATGAATTTGTGAAATCCAACAGACATGTTAGTTACCTGCGAACTTAAAGAAATACTAACCCTATTCTTTAAATTTTCAGAACCAAAGAAAATCCTGCTAATATATGCTTTATTCTTCGTCGATTGGAGGCTGTCTCTCCATTTTCTTCAAAAAATCCTAAAGACTATCCCCCTGTTCCTAGTCATCAGTCAACAAATCGTTCTCATCCTCAAAGTGCGCGTAGTGCTTCTCGTAGATCTAATGTACAACCGTCGTCCGAAAACCAAGATTTGTACTCTAGCACTCCATCAACTTTAACAACCCCAGTTCACCAGTATGTTGGCTCTACGAAACAACTACGAAATTACTACAACGATACTACTCGAGAAGCAATTAATTCTCAGCTGACAGCAAATTCAATCAATAGTGAACAAGCCTATCATGGTAAGTCTCTCTTTTGTGTTCAGGCATGAAGTCCGAACGGGGAGAATATCTGTTCATAATGTTTCAACGCATTTTGATTAAAATTCAATAATTGCATAGCCAGTGTATACAGTGAAATAATAAAATTTAGTAGCAAAGTCACTCAGTTAGCTATACCGAGTCACAAAAACTTTAAGGTATCCTTCAAGTATAACAAGTATCTCCGTTTGCCTTCGTTTCATTAGCAAAAGGATTTACGGGAAGTTGATAACACAGTCCTGCTGCTTAGAGTAAAGGACTCTCAAATACGAATTCACATTATAAAATCGATCTTAATTTTCTCTTAAAATGCCTTAGTAAATGGCTTCAAGGAAATGTGATTTGATTTGGATGGTTAGATTTCCAGGTTGATAAAAACTTCCAAGCTAATCCAATTACTTTGGAAATTATCTCTAAAAGAGACATCGTGAAAATCTCTGTGGTCACTCAAATCCTATAGTTCCTCCTCAACAGGAAACCAAAATTGGTTGAAGGCTAAATTAGTCGATGTAGCTCATCAATTCCATAATGCAGATAGAAAAGAAAAAAAGCATCTTAACTCTGAGGCATTTCAAAGCACAAAAAGAAAATAAGTAGTAGATCTAACATTATTATTCTGAAATCTGACAATGGATTATGTGTGGTTGTAGTGGATAAATGTGACTGTAAAACTAAAGTGTCATCCATTCTTGATGACAAAGGAAAATTCAGGACGGATACTCCCATCTGATGATATCAGAAAATCAGGGGGAAAAGTAACATCTATTCTAGTAGAACTTTGTAGCATGAATATTATTGGTAAAGAAGAGTTTAATTCTATCAAATCCATGGTATTGGACTTTCCAAACATTTATGGATTAGCGTAGATTTACGGAAATGACAATATGTTACTCCCGATTCTATCAATGTTTCATTCTCGTCAGCTAGCATTTTAAGCCCACTGCGCAACAAATTATGTAAGACACATTTGAAGTTGCTGACATAAAGATATTCTGTTTTGATGTTTACTTTTTGTTTACTAACGTAGTTTTAATTAAGACTGTTGATATTCTTTGTGATTACATATCCACTATTTGTTTTTCATTCGCTTTTCTTCTAATACATTTGAAAAATTATCTTTACGTATCGATAACCTCCATTTCACTTTTGAAGTTGAGCACTGTCGACAGGTAGATGACGTTGCTATGGGGAGACAATGAAGAGCATTGTATTACGTTGAAAATCTATCTGGTAAATTGATTCCTAAGTTGCCCTTTTTATAGGAAATGATGTCATCGTAATATGCGATAAATATGAAGATTGTTATTTGCCTACTGGATAGAATCAACTCTGTCCAAAATTACATCAACCTTAAACTTGGGAAAGACAGCTACACACTTTTGGGTCGGAGGGAGGATGGTTCAATGAAGCGATCAATCTATACAAAACCTACTTGGACAGGACAGTATATAAATTTTCACAGTGTCTGTCTAGTGCAACGCAAAAGAGGCTTAGTTAAATGCGTATTTAAGAGATTAAGCGTATCTATACAGCGACATGTGGTGAGAATAAAATGTTGATTGATACACTTGTCCAAAACGAAATCCTTTGAAGTTTTTGAATCAATGTAGAAGACAGTTAAGTTCAAAGCCTACGGTTCACTCTCTCCCGAAGAAAAATGTCCGTATTACATTACTTAACAATGAGGATGATTTTAAGGCCGACTAAATTACGTCATTCTCAAAACTTACTACGCAACCTGGCTTATAATTATTGAAAAAAAACCGAAAGCATGCTCCACCACGAACTTCAACGTTGTACAAGTGATTACGTCACATCCCGTATTGTATACCAATTTATATGTGTGTGGACACATTCACAGGGAAAAGTAATTGCGTCTTGCATGTTAGGATGGGGAATACGTAAGTGAATGACCTGAGAAACTACTCAAAAACCTCGATAAATACAGGCGGAAGACTGCCAGCCTCATATACAGTAGAACACATTATTTGTATGAATCGTAAAATTAATATCGAAACAACTTTCAGTGCCTGTAAAAACCGTCATGGGCACATTCTAAAGCTCGCGGAGGCGATAGCTATCCGTAAAATAAGGCTCTATGTATGTGCAGAAACAATCTATTGTCTTATCTGGGTGTATTTTCAGTAGTATTGTAAATCAAGATCTCAAATCCCTTACTACTTAGTGTATCTTAAATGACCTTCCATTTGTTCATTTTCCATATAAATTGAATTGACAAGTAAGTGTGTGATCAGGCTATTCGAAATGCATTGCGCAAATACATTACATTTTTCAGATGAAATGTATTTTAATAACTCTATTCAAATTTATTGTTGTATGTGTCTACTACTAATGAGTAGTTAAAATGTTTTTGTGAAAATCATACGATTCTTACTAGTTTGTTGTGTGAAAATAGTCAGCTAATAAGTCTCACCAAAAACACAATGCATGTCATTTGCAGGTTATAAAAATCACTGACAAAACACCGTAAAATAGCCCAAAGTTGATTACCGTGATAGTGGAATTACATCTGTTTTTTTTGCCTTACAAATTTTGAATGTACCAGCATGCATGTTAACTGTTCATCTATTTAACTATTTACATTTCGAAACAATTAGTTCCTTTTATATATTTTGACAAAGCAATAGAAAGAGGTAATTTATTTGAATCGAGTAATGTATTCGCGCAGCACATTTTTAACCATCTGATCCAACATGTACTTGTTACAGGAGTTTATGTGGAGAATATAGTAAGGCATTAAGAGATGAGAGAATAAACAAGGGTCAAGTTAAGTGGCTAAATTAAAGGGTAAAATAATGAAAATCAATTAACCAAAGAAGGAGAAGGTTTAATGTGATTAGAAATCGGTTTAAACTTCCTAATCTCTAAAGCTTCCACAAATTTAGGATATGCCCTTTCACTTAAACTTGAAAATTTTCAAACCAACTAAAGGAATTCTCATGGATGATTCAATATCACGATTTATCGTGGAAGAGGTTAAAGTAAGCCATCATCGTAGTACTGAAGCTGAAAATTTAGATTCGTAATGCCAGTAACAATACTTTTACAATCTTTGGAACAAATAGTTTGAAAATAACATTTATCCCTCATCATCAATCAAAACTCTAAATGCATCGATCTCACAAAAAAAGGTAGAACAAAATAACTGAGTAACTTTCTTATATCTTCTTAAAGGCATAAATAAAAAAAACAACAACAACTGAACTTCAATCAACTCAAATGTTTAGAAAGGTAATGCATTCAAATCCAATGTTAAATGAAAACTTAATGGCTCATTAGAAGAGAGTTGCAGTAGGTACATGTGTACTCAAATTTGTCAGCATACGGCAGTTGATGTCTCTTTTTAAATGGGTTAATTGAAATTTACCAAATAAGTATACAATGTGATTGGTTCTAGCTAGTGATTGCTGAAATGTACGAAACCGATGTTTAGATATTACTACTAGTATGAGATCTAGACAAATATCACGACTCATCGCTACATGACTAAGAAAAAGTACCTCTGCAAAGTGACAAGAAACAATGGTTATCTTGACACAATTTCATCTTATGGTACCGAATCAAGTATCAAAGAGTTAGGCTAACTAAAAGAAATGGGTTATGAAAATGTCTAATGCTACTTTAGCTGTTTGGCATTTTTGTAGCACATAAAACAACTACATCACTACACAGTATCTTGTGTAAACCAAATAAATCCGTCGCATAAAGAAGACAAGATAATAAATATTATGTGCCAAATGAATTGTAAGAACTTTATTGGTCAGTTTAGTCATTGGACAACACGAAAGCTTTATGAGCATCAACTAACAGGGAAACAATTGAGTAATTACTCATCTCCCCTTAGTTTGTGTCGTTATAAGTGTGAAGTTTGACAACTTGAAGTATATTTCAGTAATGCCGACTTTTACTTTGAGAATATCTCTCTACTAGTTTATTGAAAAGGATAAACATTGTATATGACTTAGGATTGTGTATGCATGTTGGCTTCCCCATAATTGATGGTCATTTTTCAGTACAACTCATATATTGTTGTCGTATAAATCTTCAGAGAAAAAATTCGCATTTGAATTGAATGAATTGACTTATCCATCCGTAAGTATCCAAGTTCTTCCATTTTGAAATTTTATACAATTAACTTTCAATTTTGTAATATTTTTCTAAGTACTTAAAGTCTTTAAAGTATGCTAATGATTTTATCTTAAATGTAAACTTCTCTGGAGAAAAAAAAAAGAGATTTAGGCCACCCTAATGTTGTTTTGTTTTGTTTCTGTCTATCTGTCTGATCACTCCTTATAGATGTTGATCAATATAATCAACTTAAAGATCAGTTGGCATATCAAGAACAACAGGTTGAACTCAATCGAATACGATTACTACGTTTAGATAAAGGTAATGCTTAATGGTTGTACATTTTTGAATTGTAACACCTATATTTCGGCTGTTATTATTATTATTACTATTATGTGCGGAAATTGAAATAAAGGTGAAAGATGTGTGTAGCATCTCCTACACTTATTGGAGTAATTTTCGTGGAACAGTGAAAATCATGAATAGGTAAAAGTTGGAATTCATAGGCCATTCTGTCGGGTTCCAGTGGTTGGATGGTCTACGAGCTTGCCTTGTAATCGAAACGTACTGGTTTCGAATCCTGGTGGGTGCGTACTGATGAAGAGTCCCCATCTAGAGCGAAACAACTGTCCAGTACTCCATGGTTTTCCAATGATTCCCAAGTTTGACCATAAGTGACTAGATAGAAAATGTTAAATCAATTCGTAGAAATATCGATCTTTGATTTATATGATGGGTGAGGATTGTTTTTCCCATCCTGAGCTATCAGGTACTCCACAAAGTAACACCCGGGTGTCTTGCCATTAATTACCGTTTATTGACTAATTCGTTTTATAATACGTCTAAGGTATTACAGCAATACGTAAAAACCTAACCAAACAACGAATATGAAATTTATTAGATTGAATAGTTTTATCATTGGGAACATAACTGTGCTTCCTCATGTTAATATCACATTGAAGCAGAACATTGAATGTTAGTGAAATCTGTTATATACCGTGGAGTTGTTGTTCCCTAGTCTAAGCTCTCGAATTTGAACCAGTAGACGACTAATTCAAACCCTGTTCTGTGTAGGATGGTTTACGCAGAGCCAATTAGTATTATTAGTAGTATCCCCAATAAATGTTACTTAGTGACAAGTTTATGCTAAAGATTTTTCAGTTTCTGTTATTTCATTATAAAAGTTAATGACTGTAAACATTAAAACATAAGTAAGAAACACTGATAAAGTTTCAAACTTCATACTTAATGCTAAAAATTTAGTTGAAAAACCACCTTAATGTTATGTGAAATTGAAGAACTTACCGAAACACAAATTTTAAGTTAATTATCTTTTTAAATCGATTATCTCCTAACTCAGTTACCAATATAACACAGTAAATTTGATTTTGGTTTATTGACTGTTCAAGCTATAATAGTAAAAAAATCTGTATAAAAATACTCAGTGCAACAGATGATACTTTGGTGTCGTAGCTTCATTTTACCTAATCTACAAGTACTCACAATAATATGAATTTACATTTAAGTTTAACATATCCTCAAGACAGATGTTTGCGTTCTATCTCCTGTGTTAAGTAGTATAACATATTGAGTATTATTGAGGTTCACTGTAGGAGTGTTAGATAAGAAGGGCAATTCAGTCAATGAGGTTATGAAGCTATATCGATTGAGTTGGCTAGAATACGTGTTATGCATGCTGAGTCATTGCCTTCCTCATCGAGCGATCTTAGCTGATCTAGGATCAGGTTAAAAAAGAAAGAGGTAGTGTCAAAGCAAAATATGATATCAGGCCACGTGAAGTCTTTGACTGTTGGCTTGAATCACTTTTGTTGGTGGCACAGTAATAGAATGCTCACCAACCATGCATGTGGTTCGGGGTTTGATCCCCGGCCGATGCACTCGTTTACGTTACTAAGCCAGTAATAAGACTGGTAAAGAGGGAAGGTTGAGCATGAGGCTAGCAACCCTATCCCGTAAAAATAAATAAACACCATTACTACCGAAACTTCAAGCCTCTAGCTTGAAGCCCTATGTTCCATTGGGAACATAAAGGAATAAAATAATTTAAAAAATTGAATCACTTTTGAAGGTGCAGACTACTTGACTTCTGTTGTAGAAACGCTAAGAACCAACAGCTAGAAAGACTATTGATGGTGACAATGACTCCAAAACGTTCTCAATGGTGCAGATTCATTTACTCTTTATGAACTAGTAGATGCATCAAATTCTCGTTATCCTCCATATGCACATTCTTTTTCCCATAGATTTCTGTTCATTAAAGTTATTTTGAATTTATTTTCTATACCTTTATGTGCTATGTGAAGAGTGTGGCAACTTAGACTGCTCCACTTCTGTGCAACATTCTATGTTGCAGCTCAGTCAAGTCAACATTTTCTCACAGACACTGAGAAGTCTTCGCTAAAGTTGTTAACACAGAGATTGTCAGATACTGAATATTATTAATAATTCGTGTAAAACATTATGTCATATTTCGGGCTTTTCATTGGCGTACTAGACGCAAACGTGGTACTTACTGTATAGGTAGGTGTTTCTTAAGAAAAGTGAGATAAACCAACTGTTTTTACACAAATAAATAGGATATTCTACTTTTAAAGGAGTTCAACTAAATAGGGGAACTGTATGATTAATATTGACCATCATCTGCACAACAAATATTCATCGCCATTCGTAAGTTATATGGAAAAGTTCAACAATAGTGTCCCTAGGAATGCAAACGTACGAATGATCTTGAGCCGACCAATCATAAAAATGAGGAATTTTTTGCACAAAAATTGACGTATATTTACAAGAAAATGCATGAAAACACATTAAACAGGGTATCTTTCTCTGACATGACTTAAAAATACATCCCAGTTATAATGAGGAGTATCAGTTGCTAAGTTAGACTAGTTTCTGCACATGTATTCACCGAGGTGACTGAAGATGAGTTGTTTTTGTGAATCATTTGTCTCTCTTATCTTCATGACATCAACTCTAAATCTATCCCTAATCGTAACCCTAACCCATAATCCTAATGAGCTATTAACACATTGTCCAAACAGTACTTAAAAACGACTAGTATGCGTTCAAGGTCATCGGAGCGTTCGCACTCCTGGGACGCTATTGTTAAACTTCGCCAGTTATATCTTCAAGTATCTTCATACATATATTTTAATTTAGGGTGTTAAATACACACAATAAGCTTGTACACACAACTAATGAGAAATACAATGAAATATATAATAGAACTATTGTTTGCTTGATTGTTTTTTAAAAAAAAGTCATTTGTTATTATTTTGTTTACACAAAGTGAATCATATGTGTGTGTGTATCAAATTCTACTGATATTAAAACAGTTTACTGAAAAATGACAATAACAATCCTCACAGTTGACTGATTATTTATTTATTTATTATCAAAGTCGTAGCTCTTATCTTTATGTGTTCTGATTTACTCGCATTTTGACCATCTTACTACCCTGTTCTCTAGTCCACTGATGACGTAGATAATAAATTTAAATACATTTTATTCAAAAAAAAATTATGAACGCTGTAAAATGATTTTCTTTTCTAGAGTAAGTAGTAGTATATCGGTTGTTGATTTTACCAACAAACTATGTTCTCATAAAATTTATTAATAGGATTTTTATTGCTCACCAGCATTAGGGTATAATTCATCACATATATTAAGCCTTGCTTACAGCTCTTATCCTTTCTGAATGACTATTGGATTACTACTACTTTCTATGTTGTTATTTTCATCTTTTAATTATTATCCAATGAGTGAACTGCATATGTATTTATATTCTACCTGTCTAATATGCGGGGACAGTCACATCCGACGAACAGACAATAATAGCCTATATGTATATATACATTATGCTAAGTGTTGTAATTTCGCAATGGAATAGAACAAAATAATTCCGCCTACGCAATTATATTTTGTCTTCATTTTAATATTCACATGTGTTGTGTGCACAGGCTAAAAGTAAGAGAAACTGCGCTTAGTCATCCCTGTTCGTCATCATAAATTAACTTAGTAATGACCTTGATTAGTTTTATCAAGGTTACAAGCTACTGCTAAAAATTAATACATGCCTCTCTGGTTGATGATTTATTGACAATATGTAGATTGACTGACCTACGTTTCAACGTGTTACCCATCTGTTCATATTTTTGCTACTATAACGGCATACGAAAAAAAATGCACTTTGATACCTCTGAGTTAAATATTATGGTAACGAAATACCAGTAATGGGTATATTGTTTATCGTACTTTTGTCAGACAATATCGCCTTACTGTGCGATAGCACGCAGGCTGCCCAAATCGCACTTAATCAGTTGGCGATCAGTGTCTGTAAGTATGGTATGTGCTTTGCACCGTCTAAGTGCAAAGTACTGTTACAAGATTGGCAGGAGCCTGTACCTACACTCACTCTTGCGGGTGAACCGCTTGATGTTGTTGATAAGTTTGTGTATCTGGGTAGTTGTGTGAGTGCTGGTGGAGGAGGGGTGACGGATGAGATTTCCAACCGTATAATGAAGGCTAGGGTGGCATACATCAACTTGAGCCACCTCTGGCGCCGTCGTGACGTTAACCCGGCTGTCAAAGGTCTGGTATACATTGCTTTGGTGCGGGCTGTCTTGCTCTACCCCTGTGAAACCTGGCCTCTCCGAGCTGAGGATGTGCGGCGACTCTGCGTGTTCGATCATCACTGTCTCCACAGGATTGCTTGCTTTCGATGGCATCATCGCGTGAGTAATTCTGAGGTTCGGCGGCGTGTGTTTGAACACATTGGAGATCACCATTCATTGAGTGTTGTCATCTGGAAACACCGGCTCCGGTGGCTTGGACATGTGCTGCGAATGTCATCCCAGAGGCTTCCGTACAGGTCTCTGTTCGCTAGCCCTGGCACGGGATGGAAAAGGTGGAGGGGTGGTCAGTCCATGATGTGGCGTCATGGGATGAAAGATTTTTGTGCTAGATTAGCATCAGTTGGTGTGTCACGACTCCCTGGTTGGGGTCCGCGAGATAGCTCGAATCGATGGTTCGAAACGTTATCGATATGGCCAAGAATCGTAATCAGTGGCGAACGTGTTGCGATTTCCTTCTTTCTTCCCTTCCTGATGATAGTTAACGAATACTGTTTGAACTTGTTAAACATGACTGTTTTCCTTCCAGATGAAGTTCTTTATCTATTTTCTACTTATATTTTTACTTTTAATCTTTGTTGTTTTATTATTATTGTGTGGCGCATCTTTCTTGGTGCCATATTGTACCAAGTTTTTTCTTCTGCGTTTAAATAAATAAATAACTTTTGTCAGACTTTAGAACAGAAGCCCAAATTACAATTGAGATTGCGTTAATGAAGGGAGTTTATCTGAGAAACCGTGATATACTTACGGAATAAATCTGATCACACGTTTACTAATCGATTCAATTTATATGAAAAAAAAATGGGAGATCAAATAAAATAAACAAATAATAAAGAAATTAAGAGTACGGAGAATAATAACATACTATTCTTAGTAATAATAACCAGATAAGAATTACCAAGACAGGCTATGTTACTAAGATTAGTGTCAACTCTCATCTTCCTCACTCTCAAATCCTTCATCATTTCTTTATTTTATTTGATATTTCATTTTTTTATATCATTTGAATTGACAGGTGAACGTGTGGTCAGATTGTTCAAAATGTACTACGGAAATACCACATCTTTTTCAGATGATAGACTCCATATTTTAATAGCACTATCTATCTAAATTTATTAAAGGGACTAACTGTTATAAATTGCAGTTCATAAGAGACAATTACATGCCACCTGGGAGGATGAAAATCACCGGTAAATGTGTGGATGAAGTAAAAATTATCTTAATTCCCACTGAAAGTTGTAAGTGTGGCGTATAGACTACTGCGTTTTAACAAAATTTAAATCAATTAACGGGCCTGTGAAGCTCTATCGATTTAGATGATTAGAACACACGTGTTACGCATGCCGAGCCATTGTCTTCCTCGTCGTGCAATCTTAGGTGACAGGTTGGAAAAGAGTTAGGCATGGTCACACCTAACTCTGGCCGTTGATTTGAGCCACGTGGGGGTATGTGTATACTGTTTGATTGGAATTCTCAAGACGCTAAGAACTAATGACTTAAGACTGTTAGTGGTATGATCCCAAATCATTCTCAGTGGCACAGATGTGTTCACTCTTTGCAGTCGCCTAGATCTATTCAATCCTCATGTTCCTCTATGTAATTATTCTTTCTCCCCTAGGTTTCTACCGATTATAGTTCTTTTGAAGTGGCACCTTGAACTGTCGCGCTTCTATGCAAAGCTCTACTTTGAAACTCGGTCAGTCAGTTAGTAAGACATACAAAGCAAAATATTCAGTTTAGGAATGAATAATTGATCGAGTCACTATGATTCTATGCAAAGCTTTGCATTGGGCGTTCCAGTCCCCTTGGTTTTCGACGCACCATCACTAATATAACTTTCAGAGGTAATCAGAAGGTTGATTTTGATTAACTATTTATTAAGCCATATATTGTTAAAGCAGTTACTGATGCTAACACTAATCGTAAGATAATTTTTGTTAAAATCTAATTGTAAACTTTTTTCATATGCATATTTCCAGCTTAAATGAATCTAAGTATTGTCAACTAACAAAATAATTTCTTTTTGCTTTAGAAATAAATCATTTAGAACAATCCGCTCGACTAGGCGGAAAAGATGGTTATACATCACCTGAACTATTAAGTGGATCTGCTGTTGGTCCAGTTGCAGAACTGGCTCAGTTAGCTGCTACACCTTGGTCACAATTATTGGATACAAATCGAGCAAGACAACGTGAATTATTGTCAGAATGTGAACGACACAAAATAGCTATTGATCAAGTGGATAATCATCTAGCGAAAACAAAGTACGTTTGCGAGTATTGCATTTATATGAGATACTCTTTTTTTTTCTAATTCCTGTACGTTCTCAGTGTGGAACATAGGGCTTCAAACTAGAGGCTTGAAGTTTCGGTAGCAGTGGTGCTTGTTTTCACAGGATGGGGTTGCTAGCCCCATGCCCAACATGCCCTCTTTACCAGTCTAGTGAGGTTTGGGAGTGCGTCGGTGGCCGGGGATCAAATCCCGGACCACGTGGGTGGTTGACGAGCATTCTACTGTTGTGCCACTGACGCATATGAGATACTAACTGATGAATATTAATGTTGAATTTACTTGTGTGAATAGACAACTATTGGCTTTAAGTGTTCAGTTTCTTTAATTGTGTACTAAATTCTTGTTAATACTATTGCGCTAAAGGGTAATGAATATCAATAAAATATGCAGTGTCTGTTGGTTAGATACTAACAGAAAGCAGTCAGTTGGTAAAAAACCTTAAAATTAGATTTCGTTCTTGTCAGTATTCATCAACATGATAATGCATAATAATAGCTTTATTCTAGACAAATTGTCCGCATAATATACAAATTTCTCAGCGTAATTGATTGCATAATGTCTTCACTTTGTCCAGGATCTTCAAGTAAAATAGTAATCCGTAGTACATCACGTGATGCAATACTATTCGATCTGTAGCATAAACCTATCCCTAATGATATTTTCCCTCAAGAAATGGACAGCAGCAGGCTGAAAGTCAAATAAAGATATGCCTGAGTACATTTTACGACCTAAGAACATAAGTGAATGAAAAATTCCGTCAACCTAGTTTGGGACTCTTCATCAGTACGCACCCACCTCCAGGGGTCGAAACCACAGGACCTTCTGGTTACAAGGCGAGCTAGCTCGTATACCATTAAGCCACTGGGACCTGATCTAATGGCTAGCCCATGAATTCTAACTTCTACCAATTCATGACATAGCACGACCATTTTGCAATGTCTTCTTCGATGAGTTACTGCCTCACCTTCAACCTGCTGCATCCTATTGGTCATGGCTTCGCACTAGAACCCCAAGTAACTGCCTGAATAGAGGGCCAGTAGCTAATGGGCATCAGATTAATTTCCAAGTATTGGTTTTGTAGGGATTTTGTTTGATTGGCTGGATGATTTCATCATGAGCTGACATCAGTTAGAGAACCATTGGAAAACCTTGGAGTACTGGACAAGCTAGCTAGCTGTTTTGTCAGCCTAGTTTGGGACTCTTTTTTATTGGAAAGATGATGGAATATGGAAACAAAAATCTAAATAGTAAGAGAATTTACAAGTCATTTTTACCTCGATATAATGATAAAAGAACAAAATTAAACAAAATAATATAATTTACAAAATACCATGCAATGACTGTGAGTTAGGTGAACTACATAGGTCAAACTAGTAGATCAAGAGTAGTGAGATTATCAGAACAGAAATAGAAATAGAGAAAATTTGACGCATCATGTTTGATGGAAATTCAGATTGTCCAGTGGTTCAAGCAGGTTCTCCAAAAAGAGCAAGCATCTATTCTACTATATCAAGAAAAGCGACCTACCTAGAACATTTAATTTAAAGCTGTTGAGTAGTGTAATTATAGATGTTAACAATAATTTGCTTTACATTCACTAAGCGTCTAGATGGAAGTTGGATTCACAAGTACTATCAAGTCAACAAATACATTGATATCATCTCTGTATTTAAACCCTAGCGTCGGTGGCATGGCGGTTAAGACGCTCGCTGACCATGCACATGGTCCGCGGTTCGATCCCCGGCCGACGAACTCCTTTACCTCGCTAAGCCAGAAATAATGCTGGTGAAGAGGAAAGGTTGGGCATGAGGCTAGCAACCCCATCCTGTAAAATAAACACTGCTACAGAAACTTCAAGCCACTAGCTTGAAGCCCTATGTTCCACTGGGGACGCGAAGGAAAAAAATCAATACTAAAAGGTGGTAACTCCATGGTTTCTAATATATCCGCCAATTCATGATTTTGGTAGAAGTTAGAATTCATGAGCCATTGAATTGGGCCCCAGTGGCTGAATGGTCCAGGAGCTTGCCATGCAACCGGAAAGTCCTGGGTTCGAACCCCCGTGGGTGTGTACTGCCGATGAGTGGCAAACTAGGACGAAATAGCTGTCCAGTACTCTCTGGTTTTCACTGGTCCTCTAACTGATATCAATCCGTAGTCAAACTTGAAACAAACCAAATCTCTACTAACTAACTCTTGAAAATGATAATTGTTGAAAATATTCACTGCACATACAAATTAAGTTGAAGAAGGAGAATTATTTTGGTAAAAGTACATGGATTATGCTTGTCGTTTTATTCAACTGAACTAAATTCACTTATTTCCCGGCAAATAATAAACCAGCACAGAATAATCGATGCTTTTCCGTTGGAATTTTCAAAATGTGTGGAAACTCACTGTTTTGTAATGGTTCTTCAATACAACCTCAAGTTTGAACTTATTACGGTAGCCGTAGGGTTGTGTAATTATCGAAGAAAAGCATGTGGATTTAGCGATGACCTTCTAATATCCGGCGTTTCTTTGTGTTGCATTGACTTTTTCTTCCAACTTTGTGTGTTTATCAATTGTGGTAACTTGAACCGCTGTACTTAAGTGCAAATTTCTACGTTGAAAATTTAGTTCAGTTGTATTATTCGTCGTGTCAATTATTGAACCTGCTTCTTTCAAGAAGTGTGCTCACAATACTGTTTTTCGTATTCTTGGAGTTACAATAAATGATGGGTAGCGTGTCTTACAAGCGTCTATCACTACGTTAGTCTAAAACATTTAGCTCTTATATAACTCAATCTTTTTTCATCTCATCGATTAAGTCACAATTCTTACCTGATGATACCTGACAATCTCAACATTACCTATCGTGTGATCCCTCCAAACTCTGAAACTGGTGCAACGGTATATATGCTCAGCGAACTGTGATATTTTCATCTCTTTCGCTCTCAACTGCCGTGTATCACTGCAGTGAATTAAGAAAAACGTGATATATACTCGCGTCAGTGGCACAGAGATAGAGTGCTCGCCAGCCACTCAAGTGGTCCGGGTTTCGATCCCCGGCCGCCGACGCACTCCCAAACCTCTCTTAGCTGCTGCTAATAGGCTAGACAAAGTGGGGAGGTTGGGCATGAGGCTAGCAACCCCATCCCGTAAAAATAATAAACACCACTGCTACCGAAACTTCAAGCCTCTAGCTTGAAGCTCTGTGTGTTTCACTGGGAACGCAAAGGAATAAAATAATAATAGTAATGATATTAAACTCAGGATACCTGTCTTATAACAGGTGTTTGGATGTCTCAGTAGAATCAAAGATAGTGCATAAAAGTTGTGTTTTTTGATATGTTGAAATTTTGTCAATCTAACTATGCATTAAAATAAAAAATATTGACTAATCCTCGCTTACTTGTATTTCAATGTCCCTATCATTTCCTTATTGGAATGATAATAATAATAAAATAATAATAATAAACTGTGATTATTTTTTATTCAATCAATTTAAATGATGAATAGGATGAATTTATCTCAATTGGAGAATCAAATTAGTCAAGAATTGAATCAACTACTCAATGAACTAGAAGGCTATAATCAACACAGGCGAGTACTTTTAAAATCGGCTAACAACAGTTCACATTCTCGTTCAACAAGGGCAGTAAACATGTCGGATACAAGTGATGGTGTCGCTGTATGATGATGTACATATATGTGTGTGATGAGTACTTTTTTTTCTCCTGCAGTTTCTGTTTATAAACAGTATTATTACTATTATTATTATTAATATCATGTATTAATTGCGCAATGATTTAAAATGCACTAATATCAATTTTTTTATTTTATCAATAAATTCTTACTTAAAATACCTAAGTATTATTTATTGTACAGACTTACCTTCAAAGATTACGTACGATTCACTTATTCTCAACACATAAATATTGTGTACACTATTATTTTTTAAGGCATTTTACGCGCGAACTAGTAGCTTAAAAATGTGAAGGAGTTAATCTTAAAAATACTTGTACACCACCACACCAGTAATAAATTCGTCTGTGGAAGATATTGCGCTAACAGCAATCTCTAACGTAATGAGCAGAACTTGCTTGCCGACGACCAGCTTGTTCAGTTGCCCAATTATTCTACAATGTTTCTCAACTATCTGCAAATTGTAATCAGCAAATCGATGAACGATATTATCATGTATGTATAAGAAGAAAAAAACGCATTGATTATATTCTGAGAAAAGATGATGTTCAACGTGTAATTCCTCTTTCTCTGAAATGACGCACAAGGCAGTTTTTTAACAGCTTAAAATCATAAAACACCCCTATTTCAGATAGTGTTCATGATTTGCTGTTAAACTGTTAGCTTCTATGCCTTGGAGCGTCATTCAGAGACTTAGGAGTTCACGGTATTGTTTACAACATGGAGTTATGTTGTTTTTCTTTTACCAAGAATACTATTATTATAAAAAAGTTAAGTAAATTGCAAAAAGAAAATCCTACCGCGTAATGTTCATCCCGATGTGTGATCTTCGTACCGATCTTATCTACTATATTACTATTCGCTTATGTTCCCAGTGGAATATACGACTTCAGCAGCTCGCTTCCATTTCATCTTGTTTTCTACAGTCACCTTTAGTTGGCTTCACGATTGCCCATAACCTCTCATCTGCTGCTCACACTATCTCCTCCATGTCACCCATTCGGGTTCCACTCGAGGGCCTAGCGCCCGATGCTATTATTCAATGGTCTTCTCAGCATGTGTCTCACCCATCTGCATTTTCTTCAGCAATAGGTTCTGAGTTGGTTGATTTCCAGAGTCCCCTTGTTGCTGATCCTTTTTGGCCATCTGATATTCAGTATGGAGCGTAGGCATCTGTTGATAAAAGTCTGAAGCCTGTTTGAAATGCTTTTGGTAACATGCAAACTCTCTGAACCATATAGAAGCATTGACTTGACAATAGTGTTAGAAATCCGAATCTTACTCTTATGCTTAGTGTAGTAGATTCCCTAACTGATTTCAGATTAATGAAGGACCGTCTTACCATTGCAATTCTGGCTATGATATCTACATCCATACCGCCTGTAGTTCAAACGATGTTGTGTAGATAAGTGATAGGTGCTTGCTGTTGTTGTTGTTGTTGGTGGTGGTGGTTAGGTAGTATCTCCATCCCCTCTGTCTTCTCTATAGTCACTTGAATTTCCATCATCCCTGCCTCTTCTGCCGACTTGTTGGTTATCACACCTGTACATCTCCGAGTTTATGTGACATAAAACATAAATTGTCCACCAAGTCCAAATCTTGAGCAGTCTTATCGATTCCAACGTATTTCTATCTTCTCGCTCCTCACAACCTACCTCATGATCCAGTCGACCACAATCAGAGATATCACATCGGTGATACTAGGCGGCCTCTTTTGATCCCTGTGTTCATTACAAAGACATCGTGTACTGTTTTATCTCCACTCATAGGGTATGGGCTTACTTACCGATTCTCCTTTTTATCTCTGCCTTACACTTCAATCCATCTATAATCAAACTCATTTATATATTTTCAACGCCTTTTTTCTATGTGATCACTAGACTATATCACAAATTATCTTCTACATGTGTTAGTTTCTATTTAAATTAAAAAAATAATAAAATAGTAAAATAATGCAGTTGAATTTATGTTAAAGAAAGAAAAAAAAAGAATTTATCATTCACTTTTAAAAGTAGTTTATAACTTCAACGTCATTTTTCACAAAAGTTAATAAAAATTTATAAATTCTTCTTGTTTGTTAGAGAAAACTGGAATAATCTAGTTTTTAAAATTTACAATGTTGAGAGAAAAAACAACAACAACAGATTCTGTGCAGTATATAAAATATTAACTGGGATCATTCTGTTTTGTCAAGTTTTATCACCCATCAAATATCATAAAATTGTTCCATTTTTGATAGAAAGACGACAATAGGAGTATGGGAGGGGGAAATAAATGAAAGGTAGCAAGCACTATTGAGTTAAGCTATGCTTCTCATGTTTTGATGCCTCTAAGTGTAAACTGCCCATCTATCGTATGGAGAGGTGGTAGTAAGTGAAATTAAGTCTTTATTGTTTTCACCTCCATCATCTTGTTCAAGATCTTCGACAGCATTATGTGTCTATTATCATCTCTGACATATGGGGTGGTGACTGCGTAAGTAACACTGTGTGATTTCTTCAGGAAAAGCAATGAAGTTATTTTTATAGCATCAACTTTTTTTTCCTTCACGTTCCCCAGTGGAACATAGGGCTTCAAGCTAGTGGCTTGAAGTTTCTGTAGCAGTGTTTGGTTTGCTAGCCTCATGCCCAACCTTTCCTCTTCACCAGCATTATTTCTGGCTTATCGAGGTAAAGGAGTGCGTCGGCCGGGGATCGAACCCCGGACCATGTGCATGGTCGGCAAGCGTCCTAACCCCTATACCACCGACGCATAGCATCAACTAGATCTTGAAAACTATTCTTCGTCTATTTACGACAATTTTCTAAACACTTGGATTATATTTATTAATAGTGTAATAGTTTAATAACGCCTATTGCTCAAATTCTCTCAAGATATTTGTAATATTATAGATGTATTATAGATGTTTGTAAGGTTAATTACTTACTAACTCAGGTGTTGTTGCAGGACTAAAAGAATCGTGTCATTGAAAATCACCAGCTTTGTGGAAAAGTAATCCCAGCAAAGCCTGAGTAAATAAAATCTTTTGGCTATTAACTGGATAATTTATTCGGAACAAGTAATAATAACAACCTAAAAGGGGAGCTTTCTTTTACTGATAAGCAATACAGAAGTGTGCATAATCCGTGGTACGATTTTTTTGCTTCTAAACAAATCCGCTTCTTAAACTCGAGATTCAGCATGTAACGCTAGAAGACAACCAATATGGTCCAATAATTGAAATTTTCGTCATGGTGTTTGTTAGAGACACATTATTCCGTAGGAATATTTCAGAAGTAATTACGCAGTGTTTTGCTTACTTAAGACTTTCATTGAACAAGAAATGTGGCGCTCTGTCGGCTAATAAGAATCCTCAAGTCTGTTTACAGAATTTCATCATGAGCTGACATTGGTTAGAGAACCATTGGAAAACCTGGGCGTACTGGACAGCTGTTTCGTCAAACCATTGACTCTTTAGCGGTACGCACCCACACCATGGGGTTAGAACCCAGGACCTTCTGGTTACAAGGCGAGCTAGCTCGTAGACCATTAAGCCACTCACTGGGACCCGATCCAACGGCCAGCCCATGAGTTCTAACTTCTGCCAACTCAAGTCTACATTTTCTTCCTTGTTTCATTACACTAAGTTTCAGATAGAAGTGAAATATTTCGTGTTACTAGACAGTTGTAGAACTAAGGCTGGCACATGTGAAGTAATTCAGCATGAATTTTTAGAAAAAGCACCCCGTAGATGAGGAGCGGCATGGTATCCCGTACTTACGAAAATCAGTATATTGTATTATAGATGTTTATATATTTCTCAAAAGATAATAATAAAAATAATTTAGAACTCACCAATAGAAACGCTGATAAAAAAAGGCTAGTTACATTTCCTGAAAACGTCTAAGACATTTGAAACAAAATTTCGATTTCAGTTAGTACCTACCAAAAGGAATAATGATTGACACAGTTCTTAATAATTAAAGACCTATAATCAATAAGAAGCCCGGATAAAGGGTTGATTTAAGACTCCTCACCGAAATTAACAAGTAGTTAAAGCTCCAAATAAAATACCAAAATCAACAGTGACAGACAACTCCCCCTTCCACACGGTATATACCACCTTAGGTTGTCACTTTCATTACCTGACTACACTGGCAATTCATTTTCCAACATACCTAGTTGAACATTGAAATTTTGTTACTGACATCCTCAGGGAATTCATATGATTCTTCTAAACTAAAATAAACCTAATCATGATGAAATCAGAATAAATACAGGGAGATTTTTATCGCTTCTGTGATATAAACTTGAAGTACGCATGTGTACTCTCGTGCCGTGCAAAAGCCAACAATATCATCTGTCCGCCTCATGAATATTATGAAAGGTGGAAAAACATCTTATACCGTAGTATTTTATATTACCAAAAGGAAATTAACTCCCCATCAATGTACTTATTCAATCACTCAGTTCATTATGCCTACTTACTTAATAGTGTAAATTATTTCTGAGTTATTGAGCTAGTTATCCAACATTGCTGAGTATTTGAAAAAATAATAAGGTCAACTGTCATATTCATTGGTAAAAGAAGCTCATTTTGACGGATAAGTCTGTCAATCTTACCTTAGGATTAAGAAAACAGAACTAATTACTCATCCAATTACTTGGATATAGTCTAGATGGTTTCACTGTTTTGGCTTAATCAAGCAAATACAACCGAGTAGTAGGATTAATCTTTTAGCTGGAATGCGATGAGAAGTCACAAGATATATCTTTCAAAATCAATCTTCGTTAGGATGTTAAGGCCGCAGACAAGCATGAAATTTTATATCTAAACATACTGCGTGACATTACAGAAAAACATCTAAGAGAAAAGGAAAATGTATTTATTAGGTGACACGGAATAAAACAACAGGTATTCTAAAGATTCACCCTTTACTGCCGAAACGTCTTATGGAAATACAAGAATAAACAGTTCAGCGAAGAGCCTTTTTTCGACGAATTCACTCACTTAGCTGTATAATCTGAAATATATATATATATATATATATATATAATATATATATGTATAATTATTTTTGTGTGTGTACATTAGGTTTGTCTTATGCCGCTCATTGTTCTTTAACAACACTCTAAAGATAAATTATCGCATTTTGACCAGTTCTATGTGTATCTACCAA